CCATGGTCCCCTTCCCCCTCCAGCTCCTCCTCCCCCGCCCCTACTTACCAGCTCTGAGTCTGGCTGCAGCTCCCTGCTGCAGCCACCAGGGACTGTCTGAATCATCAAAGCTCTCCACATGTTTTCTGAAGATTCGAAGAGCTTTGAATCAATTCGGACCATTTAACTGGTCCCCAGATTTGATTCAGAGATTTGGCCACCGAATTGGGCCGAATCTCCTTCGAATCGAATCACCACCCAAAGCTTTGCACAGCCCTAGTTTAAACCTATAACAGAACAGAAGCTCAGTGCACATAAGCCAGTTAAAAAAATGGCTGAAACTGGTATAAGATAAACCTGGTTGAATGCAGTATCAGACTTAACTGATATATGTCAAACCAGTTTGTGGGACTTCTGTCCCAAACCTCTTCCTGGTTCAAGTTAAATCAGAATCCCCCAGCATGCTTTCCAGCCCTGGGCTGGGCTGTGTTGTCTGCTCCAGAGAGCAGGGCTGGTCCTGCCCCTCTGCTCCCTAGCTGGAGCAGTGAGGGTTGGCTGATGGGGGATGCAGCCCAGTCTACAGGGGAGGGACTGCCTCCCCCCAGGCAAACCCCGGCTGGGGTCTGGGCCTGGGGTGTGGGGTTAAACATGCCTTTCCCTGCTTAAACTTACTGCTGGCTGCAACTGTGGACTACAAATCCAAGAGGCACCTGGAAGCAGGAAGAGGAAGTAATAAGCAACCCTGCAGAGTCCTGCTGCTGTAATTATGGACTGAAAATCCCAGAGACCACAAGGGCAGCAGGGAAGAGGAAGTGACCACACAGCCAGAGAGCCATGCTCTAGTGCCCCCAGCTTCTGGCCTGAGGCATTGCAGACACGTGGCTGCATTTCCTGAATCAAAGTGTCTGTTTACTTCTGTTTGAATGTAATCTGTGCAGCTTAAACTAACCTGCAAAGACTGAATCGACTCAGCCTCAAGTTTTTGACCATCTGTACCTGGCTCCAGGGTCTCACCCTGCTTTCTCACCTACCACACCTTGATGTTAAAAGTAATGAGGGGAGGCTGAGGAACCTAGGGTGCTCGCTCACTCTTAGTTCTTGTTCTCTCAGGCCCTACTTACATTAAGGGCTAATTTTGTGGCTTCCTTCTGCCCCCACAACCATGCCCAGGTTTTGCAGGTATTACTGGTTAATCACTGTAATGGGGCAGCTTGCCCCCAGTACAATGTCAGGCCTCCAATCATTTGCCAGGGCCTTGGCCTTTTGAGCTTGCACCCCTTTTATCTAGCTGGGCCCCCTAGCCCAAGGTCCGCTGTTCTTACCCCCGCTTCTGGGCCCTTTTGGAAAGGACAGCTACAGTGTTCTTTCTGAATCAATTTACTATGGTTATGCAGACAGTTTTCTAGAGTGTATTATATTTAACCTTTAGTGGGCCTTACAACAATCCCTACCAGGCAAGCAAAGGTAAACCCCAGGCTTAAGAATCTGTGCTATATACATTGTTTAAATGACCTTCAACATAGGTCCAAACTCATCACCTTATCTCACTTTCAGGGATGTGGGATCCTTACAGGCTTGAAACCATGCTCATGCAATTAATCCAAGTATCATTTTAAGCTATTTGCACTATAATTAATTTGCAATAAATCTAAGGCCTGTTTTTTCTCCCAGTTGCTCTTTAAAAAGACAGGTGAGTGTGATGCTTAATTGCACACTGGAGCTGCCTACCTTCAAATCTCTCTCTTCAAATACCTGAAGGGCAATTATAAAGAGGATGAAAATAGATTTCTCTCTGTTGCTGTAGGGGATAGGTCTAGGAGCACTGGCCTCAAACTGCAACAGAGGAAGTTTAGATCGGACTTTGTGACTATAAGAGTGGTTAAAATTAGAACAGGCTACCTAGAGAAGCTGTGGAATCTCCATCCCTGGAAATTTTCAAGAGCAGTTAAGATAAACACTTGACTGGGATGGTTTAATCCAGCATGATCATGCCTTGAGCAGGGGCTGAACTAGATGACCTTGTTAGGTCCCTGCCAGCCCTACTTTCCTATGATCTCAAGTGAACTGGAAGTAGAAAAGAAGTTATTATTGAGGTATAAAGTGCTTGACATGTTAACACAAATGCAGAGCACTGTTTGGCAATACAAGTATTATTGAGAAAGTGCTCAGATTACAGAGAAAACATGTTGTGAGCGGTATGAGACACATACGAATGCCTGGTCAATATCCTTCCTGATGTCAGCCACGATCTGGGCGTTATCTCCACGGGCCAAAACCGCATCCAGGGAATGATGCTGGATGGACTCCAAGAGACGAGCTGGGTGACCCAGACGCAGGATCCTCACCTTGTAAGCGGCAAGTCTCTCCACTAGATTATCTACTGCCACATTTGATGGGGCACAGCACAGGACCTGGAAGATCAAACAAAATGCTATAATTACTTTCAAAAGGACTGCAAAGCCTTTGATGAAGAACATGTAAAGCACAGACAGTCTCACTGGAGCATGGAGGAGGGGAAGAGAAGATTGATGAATACAAGTGAGAGGAAAAGCCACCATTTAAATTTCTGCAGCTTCAAAACATCGCTGGAAAGATGCCTGCTGCCATGACACAAAAGGCAAGATTTTAAATAATCACTGACCACCAACATCTCTATTTCAATTTAGGCCTTGTCCACACTTTATTTTGTTTTGATTTAGACATCTGCAAGGCAAACATTATGGCAACAGTGACAGGGAGAGCTGCTATTTGTAGTTGAGTTCAACTGCTTATGGAAATCAGGGACATTCCCACTGCACAAAAAGGGTGAGTGTCCCAGGGCCCACTTATGTTTCACTTATGTTGTGTGAAACTCATACATAGCCCATGACATCCCAGACATTAAATGAAACATTAAACGATTTTAACATCTGGACAGTTAGAACATGATAGGACATGGCACAGTCCTCTGTTATTCCAGAATGCACTGCACCCTGCCCCAAAAACCAGTCCATAGAGGCAATGGTAAACCATGACTTCTTATCCTGGAGGATAACACCATACAGCAGTTCCATCTCTGCTGGAATAGGGTGGGCCAGAAGGATTGTCATGATCCATTCTGGGCTTGGAGAAAAGATCTGAGGAGTAAATGGACTGACCACACTGTAGATTTTCTCCGCGTGTGTGTGTGTGTGTGTGTGTGTGTGTGTGTGTGTGTGTGTGTGTGTGTGTGTGTGTGTGTGTGTGTGTGTGTGTGTGTGTGTGTGTGTGTGTGAGAGAGAGAGAGAGAGAGAGAGAGAGAGAGAGAGAGAGCGCGCGTCTGCAGCTGGACAGTCAATCAGCATTGTGCTCCACACAGCTGTCCTTGGGAACTCCCGGAAGCAGGAGCCACCTCAGGGCAAACTGAGACATCAGCTCCCCTGATAGGTTTGCTGCAGCAGTGCAATCTCTTGCACCATGATTGTCCCTCCAGGGAAGAGGCCCCTGAACATCTGGCACAGCGCAATGTACAATGTTTCTGTTCCACAACAAATCTCTATGGTTCCCATTGAAAAACGGAAAGAACACTTGCAGAGGGCACTGGAGAGGCACACTCCCTACATACTTGCACACCACAAAGAGTAACTTTTAAACGTACTTTCAGCCTTGAGGACTGATTGGTTCTGGGAGCCAAAGCCTCTTCTCAATCTCAAAGCTTGGGCTCTCCAAAGATTACTAGCTCCTGCTCAGTATGACATCCCACTAACCTCTGGGCACGATGCCTGTGACTACATGTTGCCAAGAGAAAGGACAGAGCTGACTTACTGACTCCCAGAGGGGCTGCATTTTTGTCAAGAACAAATCTCCATTCCATATGGATTAATTCCATAAATCTCACAGCAGGCCAGCTTTATGGAGAAAACATCAAAAGATGCTCACATTTCACTTGACCCAGGAAACCAAAACATCCCCCCATGAAAAGGAAGGATGCGTCTGTAGTGAAGGTGTGGATGAGGCATCAAAAGTTTTAGGTTTATCACCCAACTCGACCACAAACTTCCCAGGTGACAGGGCCTTAAGTCAATAAATCTCTTTGTGCCATTGTTCTTCACAAGTAAGAGATGGAAAACAATACTTCCCTGTCTCATGTAGGAGCCAGAGAATAAACTCTTAGTGGTTATGGGGGCTTTCAAATACTGTGCTGACTGGAGTTCGTTAAAGCAAAATCTTTCCTAGAAAATGTATGCACACAGCTCCAAGCATGGCAAAACTTATAGCTACTGTATAGCTAATGATTTCAACTGGAGTCTCTAGGGACTACTGTAATGGGAAGAACAAAAATCTATGTGTTGCTAGAATTCCCATCACTGTAGAGTCTAGACACCCTAATCCAAGGGTCAGAAACCTTTTAGCAATGACAGGTCACCCCTTGTGACGCAGCTGCCACCGGAGGTCACTGATCCCACCCCTCACTTAGTGATCCTCCCACCCTCAACACATCACCAGAGGGGGTGTAGCCACAGTCCCCTTTTCAGGCTCATGGTCTCCCCTGTACCCCATGCTGTGGTGGGAGGGGTTATTGTGGCCAGCAGCTTGTGAGTGAATGCATACTGTGGCACTCCTCTACCACACTACCACTGCTGCTGTCACTGCTCACCCCCATTTCTGCATGGCACCAAATTGCCTCACTAGTGGCAACCAGCAATGGTATACAGGCCAGCCCAGAAGCTGCACTGGAATGCAGCAGGATGGAGTTAATTTCAGCAGCGATAAGAAACTTCACAATGTGCTTGATGAGTCAGCAGAACAAGCATGCCCATAGCCACTCTGGCACCTGCACCCATCACTTACCTTCAGGCCTTGCTGCACAGCTTGGAGTATTATCTCTACCACCGTGGTGGTTTTGCCAGTGCCGGGTGGTCCGTGAATAATGGCAAGTTCTTTCTGTGCCAGGGAAAAGGACACCGCTTCCTGCT